AAAGACAAGGAAGGGGCTCTGCTTACTTCTACAAATGATATCATGGGCAGATGGAAAGAATACTTCTCAGAGCTCCACGGCGCTGAGGGAAGTCATGACCCAGAAATAATGGACCTCACTGCTGAGAAGGAATTCAATCATGTGGAAGATAACATCAGGATAGAATTGAAGGCAGCTATTGAGAAGATTAAGCTGGGAAAAGCAGCAGGTCATGATGGTATAACACCAGAGATGGTCAAATATATGGGAGTCGAAGGTGAGCGCCTTCTACTGAAGGTTCTCCAGGCAGCCTGGTGTAGCAAACTATACCAAAAGATTGGGAGATTGCCATAATTATACCTATATTTAAAAAAGGTGATAACAGACAATGTGAAAACCACAGAGGCTATCCCTCCTCAGCATCCCCGGTAAAAGTTACTCTAGAATTCTTGAGCAGAGACTTAGAAGTCTGGTAGAGCCACAGCTGGACGAGGCCCAGTGCGGCTTCAGAGCAAACCGAAGTACTCAAGACCTTATCTTCACACTGAGACAGATGAGTGAAAAGCCCTGGAATATAAGAGTGAGATTCACTTATGTTTTTTGGATCTGGAAAAGGCATTTGACAAGGTACCCTGGAACAAGCTCTGGGACTGCTTGGCAGGGAAAAACATCCCAACCCCTGATCAGTGCAATACAGAGTTTCTACAAAAAGTGCAGAAATTATGTAAGAACAGCAGACCAAAAGTCAGAAGAATTTAAGACCACCAGCGGTGTTAGACAAGGTGATATTCTCTCACCTTACCTCTTCATTCTTATGATGGATGATGTCATCAAGACCTGTAAGGAGAAGACAAAGAAGTACTCTGTAGGGTACTGGAAGATGAGACCAATCTGTATATCAGAGCTGGCTTTTGCAGACGATGTGGCCCTGATAGCTAAATCAGAGGCACACCTTCAGTACAACTTACTTGTCTGGAAGGAAGAGCTTGAAAAGAAAGGGATGACCATCAGTGTCCAAAACTAAAACCATGGTGATCTCAAGAGAGGAGAAGAAACACCAGATCATGATGGGTCAGTATGCGTTGGAGCAGGTTAACCAGTTCAAATACCTTGGAGTTGTATTAGACCAAAATGGAGGCATTAAGACTGAGCTGGCTACACGAAAAGCAGCTGCTGGGAGACTCTTCCAGGCCATAAACCGAGGGTTTCTTAGCAAAAGAGAAATTGGCAAGAGGACGAAAATGGCTGTTTCTCTACCTATGTACCAGTCCTGACCTATGGGTGTGAGTCATGGGCAATGACAACAGCTCACAGAAGCCAAGGCCTCGGAAATGAGATACCTGAGAAAGGTGGTCCGTGACAAGAAGGGACAAAGTCCGCAATCAGACAATACGTCAAGATCTTGATACCCAGCCCTTACTAACCCGAGTGGATCAGTCACAGTTACGATGGTTTGGACATGTGTGCAGAAATGGGAGAAAATCGGCCACCATGGCAAGCATGGGCTAAGAACCAGGGAACCAGACCTCCGGGACGACCCAGGGTGCGCTGGAAGACAACATCCGACAGTCCCTGACTGACAGAGGACTGGAATGGAACAAAGCCAGAAAGAAAACTGCTGATAGAGACGTCTGGCGATCTCTCTGGCAAACCTCTACACCCCAAGGTAGAAGAGGAGCGACTAAGTAAGTAAGTAGAACCGACATCACAGCACTCAGGGCATTCCCATAATCTCTCTGTTCCCATCTTCAGCAGCCAGCAAAGAGTGCCAGTAGCATTCTAATTAAACGTCCGTCTTGCCTTTCTTCTAAGCCTCGATAATCTGCCAGAACCTCTCGTCACCCCCAACTGCATCAATATCACCAGATTGTGGTGATCCATCTGCTCCTCCGAATTGTACACGCTCTCCCACAAGGCACTAACCACGTCTGCCCTATCATGTTGCAGTATTCCACTAAGTTGTGCAGAGCCAGACAGTCTGTACGCCTGTTTATTTCCCAACACACCGGCGTGACCAGGTGAAAAAAATCCACACAATAATCCTCCCTCGTGTCCCCCGCAGCGAAGCATGCCAATCTGCACGAAGTATACCTGTTCTGATCTTCCTCAGCATGCTATCTGAGTCAGTTACAATCACGATGTGTGTGTGTGTGTGTCGTGTTCTCTAGCCAGCGGAAAGCTGCAATGACCGCCTCCACCTCCATTCTCAAGCTGGATGTTGTGATATCATATGCTAGGCTCTCCTGCACCAAACGTCAACCATTAACTTTTGCTAAGAAGCCCCAAGCACTTCTTTTGTCTCTTGCCACTGAACCGTCTGTGTAAATGATCAAATCTTATGAGCGAGCATTATCTTGAATTAATTGCTGAATTTCCAACTCTGTGGCACCTGCTGGCCATTCTCTGCATGCCCGGCGCAGTGTGATTATGATCCTACACAAGTCTGACTGTTCAAGTGGCACTTTGACCCACTCCTCTCCTCGCCTAATATTTTCAAGGATGCAAACCTGTCTGATTGTGTCTTCTGCCTGAGCCATCCATGACTTCCCTCTTATTAACCGCTGACTCTTAACTGTATTCAGAGCTTCGTGCAAAGGATGGTCTGTGTCTGCAGATACCCTGAGATATGACTTCAACTGCAGCACCTTGTGCCTACCTGCATCAGTAGGCAAACCAAGGATGTATCGCATACACACCACTGGGGGTGTCTCTGGTGCAACCCAGAATGACCCGCATAGCTGCGTTCCGTATGCGCTCTAGTTTGTCCATCTGACTCTTTGAGACGGTAAGCAGTCCCAGGCCATAATCCACCACTGACAGGATCAGGTGCTGATATAGCGTGAAAAGCATTCTCTGCTCTATGTCAATTACAGCCATAGTCCTAAGTGCACTAAGTCCTTTTTGGCATCTCGTCACAACACTCTCCACATGGACTTTAAATGACAGGCTTCTGTCAAATGTAATTCCCAGATACTTCAGTTTGCTCTCTGTGTTGACGTTTCTACCATCTATCAGTTCTCGTTTTGCCTAGTGCAATCTTCAGTGCAGTTTTCCATGTCAAAGATGCCGCACTCAGGTCACTTTCATGCTGACAGAGGGACTCTGTCCCAAGACCACCGGACGTTTAGAGCACTTATTTCCTCTTGAAGTTTCAGTAACGTTGTAGATTTTTTACAGGGCAGAGCTGTCAACACTGCGCCCAACTCCCGAGCCTGGAGGACCGGGAGGCCATCTTTAGTCTGGCCCCTCACCAATGACCTGTCTGGCTTGGGTGACCCTGCCAGGAACATATGTTCCCGCCCGCATAGCTCATTAGATCATTGAGGCTCTCAAGCTCCCCCACCACTACAAGGTAATGGCCTCTGGGCATCTATCGTGAGACTTAAACATTAGCTTTAAATATTCTGTTGTCCAGAGAACACCACAAAACAGACGCCTTTTCCGGGTGGACGACATCCCTCATTTCTGTACACCATTCAGTCACTTTGTCTACTGTCGCTTGTAGCTTCCGGGCTGTTTGCTCGCTCTCTTCCCCCTGCCTATACGCAAGTATATCATCCGCAAAAGTCAGTATCCTTCCAACTCCTGGTGCTTCTAGGCTTGCAATCTTGCTCGTATACACGTTGAAGAGCACTGGCGAGATGGCGGATCCCAGTGGCAGTCCTGGGGTCAAAGTACATGGTTCTGAGGTCCATGAGAGCAACCCGAGGTGAATACGGGACAGCTGCAACCCAGTTCACCAGCCATGGACTGACCTTCTCCTTCAGTGCAGTCATTAAGATGTCGTATCTCACTCTGTTATAAGCATCCTCGAGATCCAGTCCTACCGCCATAGTTTCCTGTCTGTTCTGGAACCCTTCATAGACGTCAAAAGCACAAGTGGCTGCATTTGCCCAAGTGTCCTTTCCTGACCTGTAACTTCCCAGAACTCTTGGGAGAAGCTTCCCTCTTTCCAAAAATTCTTGTAACTTTACAGCAACTATCTTCTCCAAGGCCTACCCAAATGTGTTTTGTAAGGTGATGATTCTAAAGCCACTAAGCTTAGGATGATCTTTAAAAGGTTTTGGTAGTGGGATTAGATAGCTGTGCACCCAGTCCTGAGGTACTGATGCTGTCTTAATACTCTGGTTAAAACAGTCAGCCATCTCTGCCAGGTTTACATCGCTCAAAACCTTCACGTGACCATACCTGACTCCATCAGGCCCTGGTGCAGTGTCTTTTGCTTTTTTCAAAATGTGTTTGATATCTTCCACTAGTATCATGTCTTCATAATGCATATTCTCCAAGGTGCCAGCTAACTCCTTTCTAACTGCATCCCTGACGTCTACATCATTATGATCTGTCTGAGCTATAAACCTATGAAGTAAAGCCTCCCATTTCTCCTTGTCTGTTGTCACACGCACACCATCGTCTCTACAAATTGTTCCGACTGTCATTGGCCGATCTTTTCTTTGCATCTATCTGCCTTTGCAGTTTCCAGAATTTCCCCAATTTTTTTTATCGCTTCCCATGTCATTCACAAAAGTTTCCCACTTTGCTCTTTTGGCCTCTGCTGCACAACGCTTGAAAACCTCCACCTTATCTTTTTTTCACATTCTCTGCCATCTGCACTTCCTCTCGTGAGCTTGAGGGTGTCTGTCGTACTTTCTTTAGCTGCTTCAGCGGCTCTCTTTGCCTTCCGCGACTGTTCTACTTCTGGGGCCCACCATGGGTGCTGTAGAAAATTAGTTCTGGCAGTTCTGTTGCATGCTCCCCGTCTGAGACGTCCAAGTATGTTGTTGGTCCACTGATACCGGAAGATCTTGCGTGCTCTCCCATAAAACGTAAGTGCAAGTCAAGCAAGAAATCAAACAAAATAGCCGTAACCCCCCGGACAGCAGACAAGTCTTTAAAAAATATATTAATGGAACGTGACCTAGTTCGGCTGGGCAATTATAGTGGACCTCACCCATATGACAACCGCCTACCAAACACAGAGTACACACACAGACAACACCCATCTATCACAAAGGTAAACCTACAGCGTGTACAAAGACTTGTAGGCCGTGTAGTATGGGATACCAATGGAAGATCCCTGGGCAAACGACAACTGGTCACTCAGGGAGGCCACGTTTCTGACAGGGGCAACTGTGTAGTCAGCGCAGGTGCCGGAGTACTCACCCACAATGTAGACACGATCTCCTGCCTGTAGATGAGAGCATGTTATACAATATGAAGAACGTACACACGATCTCCTGCCTGTGGATGAGAGCATGTTATACAATATGAAGAACGTACACACGATCTCCTGCCTGTGGATGAGAGCATGTTATACAATATGAAGGATGTACACACGATCTCCTGCCTATGGATGAGAGCATGTTATACAATATGAACGATGTACACACGATCTCCTGTCTGTGGATGAGAGCATGTTATACAATATGGAGGACGTACACACGATCTCCTGCCTGTGGATGAGAGCATGTTATACAATATGAAGGATGTACACACGATCTCCTGCCTGTGGGTGACAGCATGTTATACAATATGAAGGATGTACACACGATCTCCTGCCTGTGGGTGACAGCATGTTATACAATATGAAGGATGTACACACGATCTCCTGCCTGTGGGTGAGAGGATGTTATACGATATGAAGGATGTACACACGATCGCCTGCCTGTGGGTGAGAGAATGTTATACAATATGAAGGAACAGCAACACATAGAATGTCGCTAGCTCTTGTCCTCGCTGGTCCAGCAGAACAACTTATTACTTCTTCTTAAGGCTCACAGGCTGTACTGGTGAAACTTTCTGGTTGTTCGTCCACCTCTGGAAGTCAGCAATGTTCTAGTGATTGAGTTTCACACATCTGGCTTATTTGTACACAGACTGTTGGTTCCTTGCCTCTGAGACAGACACGCTCTGACTTCAAAGGAGACCCTGATTAGTGGACTCGTACGTCATGTTAGGAGGCCAGAGAGGTTTTGTTCTTCTCCACAGAGGGACCCCGGATCCGTCCAGTAAACGAGACACACACATTTTGATCAAATCCTCGACCTCTGCAGACAGGAGTGTGACAGGGTTGTGTCAGGGGTGTTACAGGGGTGTGACAGGGGTGTGATAGGGGTGTGACAGGTGTGTGACAGGTGTGTGACAGGGGTGTGCCGGGGGTGTGACAGGGGTGTGATAGGGGTGTGACAGGTGTGTGCCAGGGGTGTTACAGGGTGTGGCTAGGTGTCCTGCTGGACAATCTGTTTGTCCGATGCACCAGCTTCAGATAGTCAGCATCCTGCCTGAACTTGGCGTGCAATAGTCGTGGCCTGTGTATTTGTTAAGACTGATCTCCTGCAACCCAAGCCCCATTCCCTCACAGCCCAGGAACTAATCAAGTATGCACACCCCTGGTGTTGGAATTTCCCATCTATTAATAGATTAAAAAGCATACAACCAGGATTGGACTGAGCACGGCACAGGACAACTGACTACGGTTAGGATTTAGCTGGTGAGATTTTCTCCTACAATGTATTTGTTGTGTCACTGTCAACACTCTGTCCCAATAGTGGTGAAAATGTGCATACCTCAACACTACACTGACCTTGAACTCAGTGACACCTTGACCGACCTCCTCTACAACCCCAGCACCATCCAGTCCGGTGACAAACGGTGGCGGCACATTGGAAAGACTGAAATCTCCGCGTCTGATGTATGTGTCACAAGGATTGACCCCAGAGGAGTAGACGCGAATGAGAACCTATAGACAAATGTCTCAAGTCAGCTTTGATTTCATTTAATTCTACTGAAATCCTACCTTAAATCTAGTTATCATGAGACAAGTGGACGATGTAATCTTGCAAAAATATGTTACATCTAGCTAGGATAAAACGAGTGGACGCAATTCTAATGACATTCTATATCTTGTATCTAGCTAGGATGAAACGAGTAGACGATATAATCTTGCCAAAATATGTTATATCTAACTAGGATGAAACGAGTGGACGTAATTCTACTGAAATTCTATATCGTGTATCTAGCTAGGATGAAACGAGTGGACGATGTTATCCTATTAAACTCCATGTTATATCTAGCTAGGATGAAACGAATGGACGATTTAATCTTATTAAATTACATGTTATATCTAGCTAGGATGAAGCGCTTTGGCGTAATTCTGCTGACAATCTATATCTTGTATCTAGCTAGGAGAAAACGAGTGGACGATATAATTTTATTAAACTTTATGTTATATCTAGCTAGGGTGAAACGAGTTGGCGTAAGCCTACTGAAAATCTATATTTTGTATATAGCTAGGATGAGACGAGTGGACGTAATTCTACTGAAAATCTATATTTTGTATATAGCTAGGATGAGACGAGTGGACGTAATTCTACTGAAAATCTATATTTTGTATATAACTAGGATGAGACGAGTGGACGTAATTCTACTGAAAATCTATATTTTGTATATAGCTAAGATGAAACGAGTGGACGATTTAATCTAATTAAACTCTATATTAAATCTAGCTAGGATGAAAGGAGTGGACGATGTAATCTTATTAAACTCTATGTTATGTCTAGCTAGGATGAAAGGAGTGGACGATGTAATCTTTTTAAACTCTATGTTATATTTAGCTATGATGAAACGAGTGGACGATTTAATCTGATTAAACTCTATGTTATAATTAGCTAGGATGAAAAGAGTGAACGATGTAATCTTATTAAACTCTATGTTATATTTAGCAAGGATGAAACGAGTGGACGATTTAATCTTTAATCTTTAATCTCTATGTTATAATTAGCTAGGATGAAAAGAGTGAACGATGTAATCTTATTAAAATCTATGTTATATCTAGCTAGGACGAAACGAGTGGACGGTGTATTTTTATTAAAATAATGAAAAAACGGGTCATTTTATCAAATTATTTAAGTGCAAGTAGTGGGCGATGACTCGAAATATTTTACATGAAACACAGCAATAAAGAAGAATGGTAATGTGGATAAAAGAACATGATCCACTGCAAGTTGATGTGGATTAAAGAACATAGACAGCGGAAAGGTGATGCGGATAAAAGAACATGGTCCACAGAAAGATAATATGGATAAAAGTACATGGTCCACAGAAAGCGGACGCGGATAAAAGAACATGGTCCGCAGAAAGGTGATACGGATAAAAGAACATGGTCTGCAGAAAGGTGATACGGATAAAAGAACATGGTCCGCAGAAAGGTGATGTGAGTAAAAGAATATGGTCCTCAGACATGTATGATATTACGAGAAACGACGATATGCTTGCACAAATAAACGAGACGAGACATTGTTGTCCACCAGAAGGGTATCTCAAGCAGATTGTACAAGAACACATCAGACAAAACACAGTGGCGGTACAGATTGTGCAGGAACACATTAGACAAAACACAGTGGCTGTACAGATTGTGCAGGAACACATCAGACAAAACACAGTGGCGGTACAGATTGTGCAGGAACACATCAGACAAAACACAGTGGCGGTACAGATTGTGCAGGAACACACCAGACAAAACACAGTGGAAAGGGATCAATCACATAGCTGTCACTGTGATAGTAAGGTCGGCGCAATCATCACAGAAATGAAACATGGTTAGATTGTAAACCGGGTAGTTACTCAAACAAAGAATAAACAAGAATGGTCTGGTGAAGTTGGACCTGCAACAGATATATAATTCTCCCAAACATGAAAGGATCAGTTATAACCACAGCACCTTAGAACCAGCAACAATGGAGTTCTGATCACACAAAACCAGCAGTTTAGTCGTTCTCCTGATCAGACTAGGCTGTTCTATTATAACAGGTAGTTAAAAAATAAAATAGGATCAGAAACTGCAATTTAAGGATTGAAGAAATATTATTTGAGTCATTGACAGGATATAAATAGATGATAACCAATGCAAGAGACTGTAAAGCTGTGTTTTCTACATTACTGTTCTACTCATAGTTCTAAACATGACTACTTATGAGACAACCCTCATCTCTCGGACAACGCCACGGACAGATGATGATTGCGCAGATGCAGTTACCTCTCCCTGTTTTGGTGTTGGTTTAGGGATTGTCTCCAGCTTGAGAACCTCTGGTCCACCAAAGGCGGTGACACGAACTGCTCTCACGGACATGTTGGCTAGTGTTGATGCTGTAGAGAAGAATGCTGATATATAAATGGGAGCTTTCAATCATGGGAGACGATGTCCCATGATCGGAAGAAGAGAATGGAGCTACCACACTCGTCGCCCGCTAACTACCCATGCGTTGCCTGATTCTCGATAGCTAGATACTGGACAATTACTCGCTTGATATTCGGCTGAGTGTGTCTCGACTACGCTATCGGGGTCGTCTGCGTTTAGGTTATTAGCAGCCCGCGAACACACCATTGTTAAAACGATTGTCTGGATACTGACTGGGGAGCACGCTTGGTGTCCTTTTTAGGATACTCAACATGCCTTGCCGACCTGTCAGTTGAAAGCTTTCGCCAAGCACCTGATTAGCCCGGCCAGTAAAGCTTTTGCCAGCCACAGCCTCACCAATCATGGCCCGTGGCTAGAAGAATCCGATCCAGCGCCGAGACACCAGGTCGACCTCAGCCAAAAAGGAGGAAGCGCCGGTCGTCGCACGAGCCCCAACGGTGGAGACGATGCCAGAAAACCGATCGACGATCCGGAAGAGACTACAGCCTCGTACACCCAGTTGTCGCCAGCCATGGATGTAGCCCAGCTCGAGGCACCAGTGAACCTAGAAGACGCCCCAGTCGTGGCGCAAGAACCTATCAACACCCGCCCACTCAGGCAGCAGCAGAAGCGACCGAGAGCCCACATTACAGAAGTTTTGCAGTGCTCACGATTTAACAAGGCGTGGCACTCTGCCTCGTCATGCCGCAGCAGCCCGTTGTGCCGCTACTGTTTCGGCCCTCACTTCTTCAAGGACTGCCCTCTAGCGAAAGTGGATCCGGACTTTAAAAAGCCAAACGCAAGTAGAAGATGCTCTAATTGCTCCGGTGCACACAGCGCCAGGTACATGGGATGCCCGTACCTAAAGGAGATCAAAAAGGCTTTAACAACCAGTGTCGCCTTAACAATTGCTCCTAACCCAGAAACAAATAACAGAAAGGAGATGTCCAGAACAACCAATCAACACATCGCTGCAACAGATACGACAAAGCTTCAAAGCGAAATAGCACAATTGAAAGCGGAAATTCAATCACTCAGAAGAGACAAGGCAGCATTTGAAGTGAAACGAGCCGAGGACAGAGACGAGATGACAGGAGTGCGTAGCCTGATCCAAGAGACACTCAAAAGAAACGCATGAAGGCCGAAGTTGCTGACATGACCCAGTTCAAATCAGACATCAAGGCTGTGCTGTCCTGTACACAGTCCCATAAAGAGAAGTCAGCCGAGGGAGAACAGAGCAGACTCAAAGAAACGATGAAAAGCCAGCAGAAGCTCGTGGCGAAAGTGAAACATCTAGAGGCGACCAACGAGGAACTGCGACTTGAAGTGACCGAAATAAGAAACATATGCGGGGAGAGAGAGAAGACCCGAAAGGAGGCTCAAATCAAAGCGGAGAATGATAGCAGGGAAATATGGAACCAAAAGCGAGATGCAGACATAGAAGACTGGGAAAAGGACTAAGCAAGACAAGGTACAACCATTGAGGAACAGAGAATCCTCCACCCAGACAGACACCCCATTGATGACTAGTGTCCCGCATTCCTGAAGTCACCAATCAAAAAACCACCAGCGACCCCCGCCACCCCCAAACCGCTGATGTCATCTACAACTACCGCATCCAAACCACAGGGGACAAACAAAGCCTAGAAGAACCCACAAGCAGACGGAAGAAAAAGACACAGCTACCTAACAAACCCTCAACAGTAAGCCAGATAGACATGCCCGACTTCTAGCCACCATCTTGAAGGAACAGTATCCGCCATGACGGCAGCCTACGGAACCGCAAACACCCCACGCCTGAAGCCAGCCGACATGTTGACTCTCCACCAGACTACCCCCGCCCACCCGATCCAGGCCGTCCCAGGCACCACCTAATTGTCTTTATCAGGACTCTTAGAATTTCCCCTTCCAAACAGCCAATGCAGCAGACTTCACTAACAAGGAATGGTCAGGCGCACCAACGTGCCACAACAATAAAGTCAATTGAACACCGCTCACAAACAACGGACCCAACTATAAGGAAGACTCTCAGGTTACTTTGAAGAGTCCCAGTTTATCATTTTGTTTCCAACACCAAGTTAAGTCATGGGAGACGATAACAGACACTACCCAATCCCAGACTATTTATTTCTAAAATTATTTATAACAAGTGTTCTTTATTATTATTATTATTTTTTTTTTTTTTTTATATTAGATGTGCGTGTACTAAAGAATGTGGCCGTTAAAGCCAATTTCCATTAAGAAATAAAAATAGATCTGAAACACTGTCTGATTCAAAAATTATATTTAAATATGTGAACAAGCATTGACAAGTTGAATCTGTGAGGCAGCAGTAGTATCCATCCCAGGGCAGAAACTAGATGACTGAAGACATTTTAAAGCTAACGGAAGAGAGAAATTAATACTGAGTCAGCATGTCCTTTACAGAACGTCGCTTTCTTCACGGCACGCCGGCAGGTCTCTTTGTTCTCTAGTCAGTTCTTCAGCCCTATGTGTTTTCACAGACAATAATATCCTGTATCCAAGTTCGTGGAGGCCGGCTTCTACCATGTGTGATAGGCTGGAGAACGCCAAAGATATCAGTTGAACAGCTTGACGATTTTGGTTTGTTCGGCGGCCGATACCTTCATTTAGTCTGGTTTACGAAAGCGGAAAAGTCTGGCCACTGTGTATAAAAGGCAGGCTCACTCACTATTTGGGTCTTTTTGACTTCCGGACGGACCCTGTATGAGACCTACCCAGCTGGTGTGGCTCTGCACATTGGGCTAGCCAACGCGGATACCGGCGACTGCAGGGGAAGGCCGTTTGTCAGGCTGATTTCGCGGCAGTGGTATCTTTCCATAGTTAAATCTGAAATTTCTCTAGTGGTTAAGCTTTGTAGAGATATGTCGGTGTGTTTTCTCGCTGAGAGATAGTTTGATTACAGGTCGCTATAAGTGATTTGTTGGTCTGGTGGCATATTGAAGCTTAACGTACGAGTTAAATATGTTTCGGTTTTTGCCATTGTTGAGGTAATCTCGCTGGGCGTATGGTGTCATTATCATATTTCCTTGTTAGCTGGGGATGATTAGCACTTTAGATTCTGGTCGTGCACGTTGGTTGCTGTTAATTTGGGAACCACGCTGATTTTATGTTAAGTGAAATTAACAGATGTTCAATATGGCGATCATAGTCCAGTTGTTTTGGTTCAGATTAGGACTTGTGGTTAGTGTGCCTTGTTTATCTGTTGCTTGGCTGATTAGATTTTACACAAAAGATCTCATGTCTGGACTAGAATATTTCTGTTTCTAGTCCCCGCCTAACGAACTTTCTTTTTCTTTTTTTTTTCTTTTCTTCTTAGTACTTAGGGCTTTTCCGTTTTAGTACACAATTAGAAGTTATTGGATAGACGTCCCGCATAAAATGAGTCACTGGCTACAGGCCAGTTTAGGATTACACTTTTTGCTGTCATGGATCTGACCATTATTCATTTGCTTTGATGGAAGTAATAATGTTTTTGACAACGTTATTAGGCTGGTGAAAAGTGATGACTGAAGACATTTCAAAACTAATACAAGAGATAAGAGGTATATTAGAACCCCGCACACATTTACACCAATCATATACTACAGCTGCACATACATTTACACCAGTTATGTACTAACGCAGCACACACAACTGTCACACATTTACACCAGTCATGTACTAACGCAGCACATACAACTGTCAAACATTTACACCAGTCATGTACTAACGCAGCACACACAATTGTCACACATTTACAACAATATGTACTACAGCAGCACACACAACTGTCACACATTTACACCACACATGTACTATAGCAGTATACAACTGTCACACATTTACACCACCCATGTACTACAGCAGCACACACAACTGTCACACATTTACACCAGTCATGTACTACAGCAGCACACACAACTGTCACACATTTACACCACTCATGTACTACAGCAGCACACACACAACTGTCACACATTTATACCACTCATGTACTACAGCAGCACACACAACTGTCACACATTTACACCACTCATGTACTACAGCAGCACACACAACTGTCACACATTTACACCACTCATGTACTACAGCAGCACACACAACTGTCACACATTTACACCACTCATGTACTACAGCAGCACACACAACTGTCACACATTTACACCAGTCATGTACTACAGCAGCACACACAACTGTCACACATTTACACCTCTCATGTACTACAGCAGCACACACAAGTGTCACGCATTTACACCAGTCATGTACTAACGCAGCACACACAACTGTCACACATTTACACCAGTCATGTACTAACGCAGCACACACAACTGTCAAACATTTACACCAGTCATGTACTAACGCAGCACACACAATTGTCACACATTTACACCACACATGTACTACAGCAGCACACACAACTGTCACACATTTACACCACACATGTACTATAGCAGTATACAACTGTCACACATTTACACCACCCATGTACTACAGCAGCACACACAACTGTCACACATTTACACCAGTCATGTACTACAGCAGCACACACAACTGTCACACATTTACACCACTCATGTACTACAGCAGCACACACAACTGTCACACATTTACACGACTCATGTACTACAGCAGCACACACAACCGTCACACATTTACAACAGTCATGTACTACAGCAGCACATACAACTGTCACACATTTACACCAGTCATGTACTACAGCAGCACATACAACTGTCACACATTTACACCAGTCATGTACTACAACAGCACATACAACTTTTACACATTTACACCCAGTCATGTACTAACGCAGCACACACAACTGTCACACATTTACACCATTCATGTACTACAGCAGAACACACAACTGTCACACATTTACACCAGTCATGTACTAACGCATCACACACAACTGTCACACATTTACACCAGTCATGTACTACAGCAGC